AATATTTTTGATTGAAATTATTTTTTTGATTGAAGATGCTTTTAGTTTGATTGAATAATAAAAACACAAATTTACCTCCATATAAAAAGAAAAGCCAGAGATTATTGAGAGAGGTTTCATCTTAATTTCACCAATAGAGTCAGTGTTAGCRTGTCAGTGTCATTTCTAAAGAGCAGCTTTATTTAAAAAGGATAAACTAAATACTATTTTTCTCACTCTCATTGGCTCATTTGTCATTTTTAGTTTTTAGTAAGTTATCTGAAACATGTAAATGTCAACTTAATTTACTGACCTTTAGTTACTTCAAGCTTTACTTCAGTGAGGATATCAGGTATAAAATTCCTGGTCACCCCACACCAGTATTTCCCAGTATCATTAAAACAAAGATCAGAGATAGTTGCTGTGAAGAAGCTTCTGGTTTTGTAATCATTAATGGAATATTTCTTCTCTTCTCTTTGTGAAGTTTTAATAAGAACATCATCATAACTACAGTCGTTCTTACACAGATACTTTTCATAATCTTCATAGCCCCGACCATATGAGCAGGTAATAATTACATTTCTGCTTTCATATCCAAACACATGGAGCACTGCTGCAGACCTGGTCACACAACAGAAAACAGCTGAAAGAAGAAAAAAAAACAGACATTAACTTCTTTTGTTACATTTTTTATTAAGAACCTAATTTTAATTTATTTAAACATAGAAAACGCAAAATATGTTCATGTTGGTGTCAGTGATAAAGCATCTACTTAAATATTCAAAAGTTAGTTCTGAAATTAAACTTTGATATTAAACAGGTCCAAGATTTATCGACCGTAGATCAYGAAGCTGAAGTTATCTTCCRATTCCAGCTTCCGATTCGGGAAATGACTAAAGGGCGATTACAACAAAWTTTTCACTACCTTCAGCATATTYAATCTGCTCTAGTTTAAAAACTAAAATACCTAGACTCTTCAAACCTGGACTAGATTGTTCTTCACCAATAGCAGAATAATTAAAACTTAGTTTGGGATTTGTGAAAGCTTTTTCTGATTTGTGAAACTTCAGCAAAGATTGCTTTTCATCATTTTTCAGGCAACTGGACCACACTAGACCTGGTCCTGCTCCAAAACCACAACACCTAGACCCTTCAAACCTGGACTAAATTACTCTACATTAATAAAAGAATATTTAAAACTTAGTTTGGGATTTGTGAAAACTTTTCCTGATTTGTGAAACTTCATCAAATTTAGTTTTTTATTATTTTTGTGCATCTGGACCACACTAGACCTGATCCTGCTCTAAAACCACAACACCTAGACTCTTCAAACCTGGACTAAATTATTCTACATTATGTTGAGGTAAACAGTTTTATAATCAAATATATGCTTTGTTTACTTATTAGTGTTATGATCAAACTTGGGTATTGTTTAGTTTTATAATTGGATTTAGGTATTGTTCACTCTTAAGTTCTATBAACAACATTAGTATTGTTCACTTTTGCATGAAGTTTGATCATCGGTAATTTGTGTTAAGCAGCTGAGTGTCTTCTCTGTGAGCTGCTGCAGTGGAGCAGGTTCTGACAAGCAGATGATGAGTTGCAGACGGGATGAGGGAGTCTAAGGGAGTTAACGTTGAGTCCAGTTGGAGCCGCATTCCTGAGAGAGCTCTGTGTGTGTGTGTGTGTGGAAGAGGAGAATAAAGACAGGGGTGTTCTTCTCATCAGACAGACATCTTACCAGCAGCGAAGCTG